AAAAAAAAAAAAAAAAAAAAAAAAAAAGCTAAATTAAATTAAAACTATCAAGAGTTTTTCTTACCCAACACCTGAAAAAATCTTCACATTGGGGGAGAACGATGAGGTCTATCTGAGCATACTTGAGTGAAACAATGCTCGTCTATAGTTTCGCAAAAGCATAATATAAATTACACCTGGTCTTACAAAGAGTGCTTTATGCAGTGCATTTCTGCAACTGTGACTTATTTTGCTGAATTCAAAAATGTTGGATAACAACATTAACACTCTGCACTGAAATAACCCTCTCCAAAGCAAAATTTACACCATACTGTAAAGTGAAACACTAATTCAATCCGCAGAAATTATTTTGAAATTTTTTTATTTTTTCAGATGAAATAAACCTCTCAATTAACAAAACAAAAAGGTGGAGCAAAATTGAACTTCGTTGAAAGAGTATTAAAACAGAATTACATATACCAGGGAAATGTCGTTTGGGATGAAGTATCCGCCTACAATTAGAAGTACAAAAATTTATGAGACTGTTCAACACCTCGCAGTAGTTGGGAAACAGAAAACCAGTAAACCATTCCGGTCGAGAGAACTCTTGGTAAATACCAAACTTATGCTATTAACAGGCAAAGCTAACAAAAAGACTACATTAAAACCAATCGATCTTACTAGTTTTTCGAGTTAAATGATTACCGGAAAAAAAAAAGAAGGAATGAGAGTAATGGAAGGAAAAGGAACAAATGAAGGCTACTGAGGTCTGAGGAATAGAACGACATAGGAAGTAGAAACATCATCACGCAAAAGAATTTTGCACGCATTTTGCCACAGGAATCTAAAACTTTCGCCAAACTAAAGTAAAATGCAAATTCAACCTTCAACTGCTGAAGCTACGAACCGCACGTGGGAAGCTCGTCCTCAAGTTTTATCGTTCTCAGAAAAAAAAAACGATTTGGAACCCAACACAAAAAGACTACCGAGAAAACAGTTAAATCGGAAGAGATGTTTTTAAGAATTGGTGTTATCTGGCACAAAATTCTCAATTTTCGTCAGCTAATCCTCGTTGAGGAGATAAAAAAACTGTCACCAAAATTTTAATTTTTTCAAAATTTAATGAATGCAAGTTACGAAAAGATAGCTATGTACAAAAACACATACGAACCCAACTAAAACAGAAATTTTGACATGCAGTATCAAGGGCACATAAAATTACTGAGAATCGAAAAATCACCAGCTGAGAAAGGAATGAAAAAACGGTCAATATTTTCCCTAAAATGCTTAGTCAAACTCCCTGTCTTCTAAGTAACGATATTCAAAAGTGAACTGCTCCTTTTTACGTTGAGACCACTTTTCAAAATCGAAATACACGTATGTCCCCTGAAATATGAAAGATACAATTGCAAAACGACCTAAACAAAAAGTAATTTCAACGTTACTACGCTTTAATTCAAACCTGCTCGTAATCATCGGTAATCTGCTTTGGTTCCTCGTGTCGCTGAAACCACATAAGATACTTTGTATGAAAGCGCCAAGAAAGTTTTTTTAACGCCTTAGCTGCCAGCAGCTGCGCCCGAGAACCCTAAACTTTTTGAAATAGACGAACTGACTCGTTTATAACTTTAATGACGTTGATTAACTTCTCGATTAATAAAAAAGGAAAAGAATAAATCTCACTTCCATATAATAAAACGTAAAGAACAGCGTTTCCGGAGTTAATCTGAGGTAGTATTCTAGCGTGTCGGCGTTTGCTGGTGGTACCTGCGGATAATACGGAGCTGTCGCACACGGCATTTTTGGCAAATAGCTGCGTGGTTTCTCAGAATCCATTTGTAAAGGTGTACGAGCCACTGCATGCTCTAGAATCTCTATGATATGGTCGTGCTCCGGTGATGGTGGAGCTCTGCCAAGAGGCGACGCACCCAACCAGGCTGGTATCATCGCCTAAAATGCGGAAGTAGAGAAATCAAAATCGGACAAAACGTCAAACCAGATGTTACAGTTTCACGAATGAAAACTTCAAC